CCGCCAGCACAGCAGGAGCAGTGGTGGCTTGGCTGCTGGGCTATAAGCCAGTCTTGTTTGGGTTCCTGTTCCTTCTGCTATTGCTTAGCAACTGGCTGGTCAAGTATGAACTCAAGCCCACCCCCTCAGAGTCTCAGAAGGTGAGCAAGAGGGGCCTAAGCTTCCTCTGAAGGATATGAGAGATTTGTGGCTAGACTGGGGGCGAGGGACAAGAAAGGTGTCAGGATGATGGGGAGCGATGAGGAATGCAAAACTCCAATCTAAGTCCCAGCTCTGCAGCTTCCTCTTGGGTGCTGGTGGACAGATCACTTCCTTCCACAAAGCCTTAGTTGCTTAGCTGTAAAATAGGGGCCATCTCAGACTCTCCTACTTCATGTTTGGCGTCAAGTAGCCTATTTGTATTAAAATGCATTTTTAAAATAATTATTTATGGAACCAGCAGTTGGCGTAATGGCTATGTCGCTGGACTCCCATGTAGTTGACTGGTTCAAGTCCCAGACCCGGTGGCTTAAAACTCACGCCAGGTGCGTGTGCGTGCGTGCCCAAGATCCTGAGAGGAGAATGGAAGAGAAGGGATTGCAGCGTGGCCATTCCCCCTGGGGGTGATTTCTCACTTTCTGTCTCTCTGTCTTTCTCTATCTTTCTGGTGAGCACATGCACCCTATAGCAAAAACCTCTCCAAAAACCCCACAATTATTTATTTAATTTTATTTGCTATTATTACTATTTTATTTGACCAAAGAGAGACACAGAGAGCAAGAGAGAGTGAGAGAGTGCATCACCAGGTCTGGGACTCAAATCACAATTGGCCAAGTGGGAGTCCAGACCCTTAACCAGTATGCCACCTGCTGGAAAAGGAAAAAATAATTTTTTTGAGAGGTTTTTACTATAGGGCATGTGTACTCATCAGAAAGTCAGAGAGACAGAAAGTGAGAAATCACCCCGTGGGGGGAATGGTCACGCCGCAATCCCTTCTCCTCCATTCTCCTCTGGGGATCTTGGGCACGCACACACACACACACGCCTGGCGTGAGTTTAAGCCACCGGGTCCGAGACACAAACCGAAAGAATTACTTTTGGACCAGCAGATGGCATAATGGATATGTCACTGGACTCACCACATAATTGACCACGGTTTGAGTGCCCAATTCAGCAGCTTAAAACGCACACCTAGCGCATGTGCATGCATGTCCAAAGTCCTAAGAGGAAATGGAGGAGAAAGGATTGCAGCATGGCCATTCCCCCAACAAGGTGATTTCTCGTTTTCTGTCTCTGTCTCTCTGGCAAGAGCACATGCCCTGTAGCAAAAAAGTCTCCCAAAAAATAATTACTTATTAAATTTTATTTATTATTGTTATTATTAAATTTGACTGCACTGGAAAGTGAGAAAGTAAGTCTCCAGGTCCAGGACTCAAACCATAGTCAGCCATGTGGGAGTCCAGTGCCTTAGTTACCATGCTACCTTACCAGTCCCTAGTAAAAACATTTTTTTATTATTTTATTAAGTTTTGTTTATTCATTCATTTATTTTTAATTTGACCAGAGAGAGGAAAAGTGAGAAAGCAAGCCACCAGGTCCGGGACTTGAACTGGGGTTGGCCATGTGGGAGTGTCCAGTGCCCTTAACCACCATGCCACCTGCTGGTCTCAGCTAGTAAAAACATTTCAAGGCAGGACCTCTCGACTTCAGCATTGACACTGGGGCTAGGTGAGTCTTTGTTGTGAGGCCCTATCCCATGCCTTGTTGGGAGCTCAGCAGTACCCCGGGCCTCTATCCTGAGATGCCATTAATGCCTCATCCCCTGCCAGATGTCTCCAGGGAGGGCAAGATAACCTCCCACTGTGAACTGTTTATGTGAAGAAATACATGGAAAAAATAGATACCAAATTCAGGATTCCAGTTGCAGAGACAATGTTCAGGCAGGGAGGAAGAGGAAAGTCCACAGGGGTCTCGAATATATTTGTGATATATTGGGACCAGCAGATGGCATAATGGCTATGTCGCTGGACTCCCATGTAGTCAACTGCGGTTCAAGTCCCGGACCCGGTGGCTTAAACTCACGCCGGGCGTGTGTGTGTGCGTGCCCAAGATCCCGAGAGGAGAATGGAGGAGAAGGGATTGTGGCACGGCCATCCCCCCTGGGGCGGGGGGTGATTTCTCACTTTCTGTGTCTCTGTCTCTCTCTGTCTTTCCAGCAAGCGCACACGCCCTATAGCAAAAACCTCTCCAAAATAAATAAGTAGATAAATAATGTATTCATTTCTTTCTTGGGAGAAATACAGAGGAAAAACAGCACCCTCAACAGGGCCTCATGCCATGATCCTCCTCCTAGTCCTCCCAGCCAAGAGCCGAGATCACAAACACACCTGAGTGTTTCCGGGATATACAAGTTGCCCTGGGAACCAAACCCAGATCTTCCATATGGCTTCCAGCACTGCTCAGCTGTATGCTCTTACTACGCCACCTTGCCAGGCCTCCACGTGTGATGTTTTATTCTTCATGCTGGTGTAGGAACCTAGCTATTTGTTGTCATAATTACTTTTTTGCACGTCTGAAAGAATTTAGTTATTACCATTTTAAAATAGCTTATAGCTGAATCCAAAAAGAGAAAGGAAAGCATTGTTACTAACTTGGGGGGTGGGGGGCAGTGGCAGACGATAAGATAATGTGATGAGACCACAAGACTTCTCAGTTTCAGGTTTTACTGGGCTTGACACCATGCTCAGAGAAGCACATCAGAAAACAAACACTCTGGGGAACCAGCAGTTAGCGTAATGGCTATGTCGCTGGACTCCCACGTAGTCGATCGCGGTTCACATCCCGGACCTGGTGGCTTAAAACTCATGCTGGGCATGTGTGCATGCGTGCCCAAGATCCCGAGAGGAGGATGGAGGAGAAGGGATTGCAGCGTGACCATCCCCCCTGGGGGGTGATTTCTTGCTTTATGTCTCTATGTCTCTCTCTGTCTGTCTGGCGAGCACACGCGCTCTATAGAGAAAATCTCTCAAAAAAAAAAAAAAAAAACCCCCTGGGGACCAACAGTTATGGAAATGGGACTGGACTCCCATGCAGTTGACCACGATACGAGTCCCGGACACGGGGGCTTAAACTCATGCCGGGCGCATGTGCGTGTGTGCCCAAGATCCCGAGAGGAGAAAGGAGGAGAAGGGATTGTGACATGGCCATCCCCCCTGGGGGGTGATTTCTCGCTTCCTGTCTCTATGTCTGTTTCTGTCTGGCGAGCGCATGCACCCTATAGCAAAAACCTCTCCAAAAAAAGAAAAAAAAAAAACCACTCTGGAGACAAATGTGTTTGGGTTAAGATCTTTGTGCCTTTGCACATGGCAGGCCACTTTGTTTATTCCTGTGAACATAATGCAGTTCGGATCTTGGGCATGTGGGGGCCGTGAGAGAAAGCGACCTTTCCTCACCAGGTCCCCGTTCTGTCCTCCAGACAATGTGACAGAGATGCTCCCCTTGCAGATGGTTGTGAGAATGGATTAGATTACATTTGTTAACCGCCCTGCATGGAGCAGGTGCTCAAACAGGGAAGAGGTTGTCATGGTTAACCAGTGTTTCCCTTTTCCTGGTGTTGGGGGGCTCAGGAGGAGGCGGAGAAACCAAAGACCCCCGAAGCCAACCCCGACAAAGTCATGTGCAGGAGAGAAGTGGAGAGGATGCACGCCTGCTTTGCGCTCCAGGACAAGCTCCTCGAGCGGCTTCTGTTCAGTGAGATGAAGCTGAAGGTCCTCGAAAATCAGATGTTCATCATATGGAATAAAATGAACCATCGCAGGCATTCAAGCCGACACCGCAACTTTCCCAGGAGGAAACGCAGAACGAGGAGGCAGGAGTCGACTGGCTCTTTCGTCTCCGGCTGTACTTCCAATTCTCTCACCTACGGAAACTGACGTGGGCGGGCCTCTGCAGATGCTACCTTGACTCAGTAAAACCCAGTCGGAGGCTGTTGGATGTTCTTGGTATGTCCCACTAGGGAGGTGGCTGGGAACCAGGAGGAGAGGCTGAAAGTCAACTTTGGAAAAGAGATCTATTCACAGCAGCTCAGCTGGGTAGCACCCACTGACAGCCCAACAGGGCTCCAAAGCCCACCCCTTCTTGTCTTTAAGTTGGACCACCTTACTCAGGCCCAGAGCCTCTGTCCCCACTGCTGCCCCAGGCTTCAGGTTCCTCTCTCAGCATGCACTCAAAGGCCAGAGCAAGCCTTGCCATGCACAGCTCTGACCACTTTCATTGTTCTTGAGCCTACGTCGCGCTGTCATGGTAGACAGAATGAAACCCACCTTCTTTCCCTGGCGTTTAGGCCCTCCAGGACCTGACCCTTTTCCAGCCTTTCTCCCTGTCCATTACTCCCCTCCAATGCTTTCAGCTCCATGCTAGAGCACCCCAAACACCAGCTGTTCGTCTACCACCTTTGTGAGTTTAGCCATAGCCGTGAACCACCTATACGTATACCTCGATATTGCCCCTTTAAATGGGCGATTTTTGTCCTTAAATAAATTTATCTATAAAGGAAAATAAATAATGATTTCTCTATAAATTAAGAAAAGCTATTACTGTCTTAAATAGAACACACTAAAAATAAGAAAGAGGAAAACAAGACCATATTAAGTTCCAACCAAAGCCTGGTTGTCCACAGAATCTGAGCCTGTGAGTTTTGTGTTAAAAAAATGAGAGAGTTTGGGAACCAGCAGTTAGTGTAATGGCTATGTCGCTGGACTCCCACGTAGTCGACCGTGGTTCGTGTCCCGGACCCGGTGGCTTAAAAAACTCACACCGGGCGCATGTGCGTGCCTGCCCAAGATCCCGAGAGGAGAATGGAGGAGAAGGGATTGCGGTGTGACCATCCCCCCTGGGGGGTGATTTCTCGCTTTCTGTCTCTATGTCTCTCTCTGTCTGTCTGGCGAGCG